GCCCAGCTCTCGCTACGCTCGGGCCCACGCTGTTCTTAGAAGATTTCTGAGAAACGCTTAGTAACAACGGACGAAAAAACCAGAACACCAATTGTTGACTTGAGTATTATGTATTGTTACACCAGCATATAAATCAAGTATCACTAAGCAAACTAAGAAAACTAAGGTCTGTAAACAAATATTACAATAATAAATCGTTATGTTACTTCTGACGATATTTAACTCTTCTTTCTGAACAGCGACCGATGAGACGATGACTGTCGTATTGATGCCTCCGCGAAAATCGGGGAAGTTGATTTTGAGCAAACAACCGTGAATTGATCGTTCAATCTTCAACTCCATTGACACGAGCCTTTAATTTGTATATTGCTGTTCCTGCAGAATGGGGCGATTCACCTTAGTGACCACCACCATATCTACTGATCAGCTAACGCCACCCTCCCTCCTTTTTTGATGTTAAGCTCTGAGACTATGATTATTATGGCTACCGCAAATATATTGCTTGGTACCAGACATGTTCGTACCCCACTAGCTTGAGAATAATTATATTAAAGCCAAAAGTGGACATCATGATAGTGAGATCTATATGGATAGCATTATACATTGCAAATGAACGTTGTCAGCCTAGGGATTAATTAGTTTCCCATTGTATTTCCTATGTAAATGCATTTATTAATGATATATTGCACCTACTTATTTCATTACACTTTAATGATTTACCTTACCAGTTTCACTTTTCTAAAACAGCCTTCAATCCCTCGTAAAAGTTGTACTTACCTCAATATTGGTTGGTTATCTTATGCCTACAACCACGGGTTGAAAACTAAACGGAGTTAATTTTCCCGTGCAACCTGGAGGACAACTGTACAATTCAATAACTATACGGCCTGGTTTAGACAGTGAGTGTACATATATATATATATATATATATCAAATATTTAGCTGTTGAAATATTATTAACCTGTAGACAATATACGGTTTGAGATTATATCATACTTGATCGTGCCTGTAAAAATGGCATGCATTTTCATGTAAATTTATATGTTTATATGAAATATACATTATTATTATAAATGAAGTGTTTTGTCAAGTCGAGTGGCGAAGTTGATAGTGTTTTTGTGACTAAGATATTAAAGAGCCGTCACAGGAATTGAACTCTGATTAAAAGTTCTCAGGACAGGCAGTAGAAAGACCGTAAGTTATTCTGAAAAATTTGATAGATCTGAGACCTCACATTTATTGAATGTGTTGAATGTAGGCTCGATGAACCAGGATTCAGCAATCGATCTCTCACTCTCCGCCTACCTATTTACTTTTTAGAATTTCGACTATGTGCCACTGTACTATGTGGTTGTGCGATGATGCATGCATCGCTGAGTTTTTCATATTACTTAACTTTGTAAGATCAGTCACCCCAACCATAGCTGAATTCTTTTTTTGTGATAATCCCACTCCTCCTGATCTACTAGCTTGACCCAAGATGCACTCACTTTGATTGATTGTCATGCTGTTGTCTTATACATTGCGTAATACAGCCCGAATGCGGTCTTCGTGTTCATGTCCGGACTGGCGATATGTCAGTCGCCCAAATGTAGTTCACGCAACAAGTCACTCATGGATCTTTTAAAAGCGCAGTATTTCGGACATAAAATGCCATCTCCACAAACCCGTATAATCCTAATCAGATGGTAATGGTTGTTTTAAATGTATCGTCCACAGTCACTGGAATACTGGGATAAGCGCGAGTTTAGTTTATCTTAGCGAATAATGCGGCGCCTTGAAGACTGTTTGTAGAGTCCTGAAGGTCGAGTGTCTGTTCAGAGTGGTCTGTTTATTTGCAGCTCTGTGTTCGCCACCAGGGCACCAATCGATTCGGTTTGTCCGAAGACGCATCCGCCTTGGTGAGGCCCATTGACTCTTCGAGGGTCGAATATTTGCTAGCTGAAGTCCGCAGTGAAATTTATGTTCCGCGGTTTTAGTTTGCCTGGCACTTATCTGCTCGTTTCCGCGAAACTGTCATAATGATGGGTTATTTTCCCGCAATCTTAGAAGTTTCGGGGTCGATTGCCGTCGCGGTTGAGAAATCCGGAGTCCTTTGGCTGACAGTGATGATGATGTGTATATATGATTAGATTTAACGAGTGATACTAGTTTACCTCGCCATCCTCAAACTCACTAGTAAACCACACGTTTTCACCGAAAACTGATAGATTAAGGTCATCCGTGCTGAAAATTCGTGGCGGTTGTCACCTAATTTCAAGGCCAATGGTTGTTGTTTCCTGCTCGAAGATCGCGATCTGGGTTATATTAGTAGCCCACGCTGGACTTCAGTTTCGTATGGCACTGAATATGGCGCCAGTGTCGACCAAGATATCTATGTCAGGGTCTGCATCTTTGATGTGGGATAAACGATTGTCAGAGAACTTCCTCTCAGTAGTCTTTATCTGAAAGTGGATGAATCGCTTTCCCCCTGTTTGAGTTAAATAAGGCTAGGCGCATAGTTGTGTGCATTCTTGCCGCTTGTGCTCCTAGCCATAATACCAACAGGATCAATCCGCCATTGCACTTTGTCTGGGTCTAGTCACCGACCCTTAACGTGCTCTGTTGGGCGGTATTGTTCAGTTATCCCATATTGGCTGTGTTTGTGTTAGCTATTTCGTTAATAATCTAACTTTGTCTACAAGTTTTGAGATTAGTTGGCCTTTGTTTAAACTCGGGCGGTCCACCTACTTTTCTGTAAGTCATTTCACTTCTAATATCCGGCCATCGATGCTTGCTGACTGCCCAGGAGAGGAGTCAAGATCTCCAGTGTCCTGGGCCTGATGTAAGTAATCTAGGAGGGCTTTCATCCAACCTTGTTATTCAGTACTGCCCCTCCCCCATACTTTCTGCTAGAGGCTGCAGGACTTGATGAAAGAGCTGAGAATGGGATTAACTTCCCATGTTCTCCTCTAGAAGCTACCATTGTACACGAAAGTTTGAAGACAAACAGGGGCCTTTTCCACCTCTCTATTACGTAGTGAATATGGTTGCTTGTTTAGATGGTGATTTACAATTTTCCAGTCCTTGGTTATCTGATAGAGAGACTCCGAACGTACGCCCCAATACCTAGTGGTTTCAGACTTAGTGCTGTGCCAATAAGAGCAGTGCTGAAGTTGAGCAAACCATAGTTCAGGGTCATGTTGACCGAATAAAAGATCTAACATTGATGGCTGCAAATGAACCACCTTTTCAGGAGTCACATTTTTAAATTCGGTTTTCTCGTTTGGCAAATAAGATATAAAAATGAAAAAAAATTGATTAGGAATTGCGTACAAGTGAAGAAATTCGAACAAACGACAAGACGAAACAAAAATAAGCGAGCTGAAGTTAGCTGTAATATTGCACAAGATAACTTGTAAGTGGCACAGGCGCACCAACATTTCTCTCAAAACAATTACTCAAATCACCTACAGACAGCTTTTATCATTGCAGAAGACTAATTTAGGTCAAAAGTACTTATTTTTGAAAGCACGACAGTAGGCATATGAAGCTGGAGACCTAGTCAGACACACAGATACGGCATTCATCAATCAGTAAATAAAGACCCCCACAAATCACAAAGGAAATGTAGTTCCAATTTATTAACTACTTGCATCCCTTTGAATTCGCCAATCACTAGCCAAATCTTTGTAGAGTCCACACAGTCATGCGACGACTTCTAGCATAATCCCTAACTGAGGGCTGGAAACCAAAGACTTCAGTGTCCTTCAAGCCACGTAGTTTAGTACATACTTAGCAGCCAAATATAGTCAGGTGCTTGAAGACATTTCCTAATTGGTGAACATTGACTAGACCTGGCCGATCTGCCCCAATCACTGAAGACTATCCGGAAGTTAAGTGCAGCCATACAACTATAAAAGAACGGACCGAATCCACGGAAACTCATGAGTACTTGGATGGAATTTATGCGTATGGCTTTCCAGTCACTGCAAAACAACGTGGTTGATAGTACTATGGAAGCGATCTTTCCTTTTGCTTTTTTTTCGTACGTCTCTCTCTCTCTAATTCCTGTAATTAGGGCTTCAAGCTAGAGGCTTGAATTCTCGGCAGTAGGGGTATTTATCTTTACAGGATGGAGTTCCCAGCCTCACAAACAACCTCCTATCTATAAGAGTCTCCTCGCTGGCTTTAGCGATGTACCTGTTTTGATTTTAGGATGATAGGTCTCGATCAAACCAATGCAATCAAACAACAGATAGACTTTTTTCTTAGTCATGAACAAATACTTTCTCCATGTATGCATTCTTAAGAGTTTTACTCTTTAGTTGATTGACCACCAGAGGTTGCGTAAATATGTGGCCCTAATGTCTCACGAAATAAATAATGATAGCTAGAATGCTAAGCGCTTGGAGATTTCTTGTGGTTATGTAAATAAAGTAATTTTTTGAGCAAACAAAGAACTGCAAACGACTCAGAATTTATTCTCGTGGCTATACATAAAAGAATTTAGCAATACCCTACTTAGCGCGGATTAGGTGTCGGGAAGTAAATATGACGAAAGGCTCAGAAGAGCTACTCTATAATCCAACTAGCTTTCAGTGTACACTCTTATGTATTACTATTACGTACATCACATTTTTTACTAACTTCAGTTTACTCGATGATTTGTTGTGTTTTTATTTGTATCGAAAGTCGAGCTGTTGTAATAAGAATTTATTATTTAGAACGATTAGATTATTATTATATGTTTTATCATTTCCTCAACCCTTCTGTGAAAACATTCTCGCTTTTTTAAGCTCACTAAGTGTGATTGAAACCGTTACTGAAACATAAAAGGTAAAATAAACACTCCGTAGCTATTAAAGTGCTATGATTTTATCTGTAAATGTGTATTAACACGAACCAAACGAATTTGTTATACTAGGCCATGTGACTTGAACGTTTTCAGAGCGCTGTTTTCTGAATGTCAATGTTGTTATCGCTATTTAGATTTATAGGAATGTTAATTATCTCAGAGAATGATTATATATTTTAGCATTTATCTTCATTCATTACTTTGTTTTGTAAGAGGTAAGCTATACATTTGTAAAATATTCTTTGTATTAATAGCCTATACTGATGACCTAATTGATATAACGTTCGGGCAGAGGGAATCTGCCTTCCTTATCAGCGATAACAGAAGCACCAGATATGATTCACCGGTGTATTTTGCATCTGCCAGCAACCTGGATAGATATGAAGTGGATACATCTATAGGTTTATTTCAAAATTCATTGACTATTTTGGGTGACAAATTACTTGAAAACTCTAAATTACATGTTACTGCTCACACGTTTGACTCTGAAATAAGTGAAGAAACAAAAACATTACATTTTTTATGTCATGCAAGTTATTATGGCGAAATTCGGGATTTGGAGTTTGAGCCAAGGAGTGTTTGCTGTATTATTTCGATTAATGCAACATACTTCAGTGAATTGACATCTTGTGTTCTAGTTATTGATCACACAAAAGAGAACTGGATATGTCGTGCATCCATCAAGCTCCCACCCGCTCTATGGAAGCAGAAAAAGTCACCAGAACTTACCTTAGCATACACATCATCTGGATTATTTTCATTTTCGGATGATGCTAAAAGAAAAGATGCATCTCTTGGCAGTTTACAACTCTGCCATTTATCATTCAATAAATTAAAGACTTCATTTATTCCCATTCCGCCAGTGAACATTGCCCATTCAGTACCTGATGCTATTCGTGATTTAGGAAGAAGCCTTTTGTTGCAGATTCCTAGAAGGGAATTAAAAACGAATGAGGACTTTTTTGTTACTGTACGTTTAAAACATTTCGATGATGTCTCGGATTTTACTTTAAGGTGAGTAATTTATTAAAATATTTCATCCACCAAATTTTTAATCATAACGATACATTTCAATGGATTCTGAGATACTCTATACATAATTTTTTTAAAATAGAGAACTTTGACTTCTTTGATAGGGATAAGGTAATTTTTTGAAAAACGTTTTATTTCTGGTTAATGGGTATGAAAATGAATACGCCTTCTATTGTTAACTTAGATTATTCTCCTAGTGTTTTTTTACCATCGTTTGAGTTTACTAAAATTTTAACAGGAGACTAGATGCACTTAGCACAGTCACGCATAATGTACACTTCAATTTTCCAAAAATTCTTTTACGTTTCCATTGGAACACAGTGCTTTAAGCTAAAAGCTTATGATTTCCGTAGTAGTGATATTTATTTTTATGAAATATTGTTGCTAGCCTCATACTCAGCTTTCTCTTTTTACTAGCTTAGCAAAGTAAAGGAGTGCCTTGTCGGTAGAATATCGAACTGCGAACCACATCGGCGAACATTCTTAAGCTTTGTCACCAGCGCTTACACTTTAGTTTAATGCCATGTAAATGCAAAAAGTCAAAGAAGTAAAAATTTTATCAATGTGCCAATAGGAATTGAAACTATGTGTAGGGCAAAAACAACTAAATTATGTAGTGATGCATAGAAATCAAACTTTTCTAAATGTACCAACTGAGAATGCCTTAAAATAATAAATCTTCATAGGAAGGCAGAAATGTGGTTTCTGTAAAATTTTTATCCAGGTTAGTCTAACAAATAACTTTCGTCTGTATGATATTCAAAAGCTAAAAATTCAGCCACATAGTGGTTATGTTGGTAACCAAGGGAATACGTCCTATGTGTTTTCCCGGTAAGGCAGATGTGTTGATATAAACCAATAGTAGCCAGACCACATTTACCATAGTATTGAACGTTCTACTGGCGTTTTATTGTTAAATATGTAAAGCTCAAACATATACTTTATAGGGGTTTATTCTACGTAAATCAGCAATGTTAACCACTTATTAGCATATAGGATCATACGTTTCAGCATATTGAGTACATCATCTAGCGTTATAATGGTATTTGGTTAAATGAAAGAAAAAACGATAAAGCCACATCCTTTCTCAACTTGTCTAGTCATATAAAACGGTAAAAAGCGTCTCAGACATTCTTGATTTAAAAGAATAAGTGGATGAGATAATTCTAAAATTCAATAGGTTCTAACCAGTGGACTTCAAAAATCATTAGACGAGGAGATATCATAACATGCTTGAGTGACGTCTAAAGACGTTTTTTATAAAGTGATAGACACATTGTCTACTGGACAAGAATTGTCTGGGAATATTTATCAGTAGAAGTGAAAAAAGGTGGAGATGAAAGCCTACGTAAATTCAGAGTTAATTAAAAGAAATGTGTCTGTCAGCTCCAATTTTAAGAGATATTATTATTCTATTGCTTTACGTTCCAAGTGGAACGTAGGGCTTCAAATTAGAGCTTTGAAGTCTAGGTAGCAGTGGTATTTATTTTTTACTGGATGGGGTCGCTAGCCTCATGACCAAACTTCTTTCCTTACTAGTCTTGTTACTGGCTTAGCCAGGAAAAGGAGTGTGTCGGTGGCGGAGGATCGAACTGCGAACTACCTGTGTAGTTGGCGAGCATTCTACCTCTGCGCCACCGACAAAAGAGATGATGCTATCAGATTAATCAATAGGTACGTGAATTGATCAGTGATCATACGAAGTCTAGCAAATGAGCGAATACTTCTTGTGATAATCTGGGGTGTGTGTGGACTGTTATGATTCAAATGAAACAGTCTTTAACTTTGGAACGTCACAAGTAGGTCATACTGGGTACGATTATAGTTTTTTAAACAACGCATGATATCACTATACATAACTTGGTACCGTTGTTGTTGTAAATGGTTTTGGTTTTTCTCAAGGTATAATCCACTAAATCTAAATAAAAATTGCTGATTGAATGGTCAGTTTTATTATGTCCAGTTAACAGTTTGCTCACCTGAAATTATTCAGTCAACTACAGAAATAAATGTTTGATTCAAAAGACTATTTACAGTGCGCAGTCTTCTCAGGAAAATATGTCAGTTTCTGTTTCAGTGCGTTTCTCTAAACATTTTTATACTTGTTAGCTGTCAACAGCAAATCCGTAATTTTATTATTATTATAGTATTGTTCCCTTGGATTCCGAATAGAAAACTGGCCGTCAACAGAAAATATCTATTTTCTCCTGTTCACTGCAGCTTTTTTTTTAGCTAGCTACACTACTGCCCATAAGCTCACATATCCTTCTCACGCGATCTCACCCATGTTAACCTCGGAGACGAACCCAACTCGTCGTTTCCTATTTTGGTCCCGCTTGAGGGGTGATTTAGTGCGAGATGTCATTCAACTACTTCCTCTGCATGTGTCTGATCCATCTCTCTTTCCTTCGGCAAATTTGTTCGGCAAATGATTATTTATCGGTTAGTTCCCAGAATTTCCTGTTCTTAACTCTTTCTGACTGGCCATTTGATCTTCAGAATGAAGCGACGAAGACAGCTGTTAATAAAAGTCTGCAGCTGCATGTTGGAAATGTTTTCTGCAACGCTTGGTGCAAGTTTCTGACCCATATAGAAGGACTGATGTAGTTGGTGTTGGTGTTGAAAATCAGAATTCCATTATTTACACTAAATAAAGATTTCTAAACTGATTTGAGGGTGATGAAGATCTAACTTGCCTATCCGATTCTAGTTCTAATATCCTCAACCATTCTGCCTAGATAAGTGTAGGAAATGACCCCTCTCAAATTTCTTCCGTTAATAGTGATTGGTACAAGTTGTTGCTGTTGATTTAGTTATCTTCACCACCTCCATCTTCTCTATGTTCACTTGAAGTCTCGTTCTTTCTGCCTGCTTTTACTAGCCATTTGTTGGTTTTCATCCATAATCCAGTCCACCGCCAACAGGATCGGTAACATTAATAGGTACTAAAGTTTTAATATACGAGTACTTCTAATGTATTTAATCAACTTCTAGGTATAATGATAACTAAGATCTCTTTACAACCTTGAAATAGTTTCCCTGGTAACCCAAATACTTACACTCTTAGTTACTTACTAAGAAGCCTAAATAAAAGACCAATAAACACCATGTATTGTTGTGGATGCTCTGTTTTACACGTGGAACACATGAAAAGAGCAAAAGCCTTATAAACAGTCATTTAAGTTCAAGTAAAAGAAGTTGCTGAAAGTAAAACAACCGAATATTTTTAGCAGGGATTTCTCCAAATATTAGCTCAAAGTGCAGTAAATATACACTCGACTATAGATTGGCGTGAGTAATGTTATATATCAAGGGTTGTTTCTTAATTATTGAATGTAAGTTAGAAGGACATAGACAGTCGTATCCCTTTTGTTTGAGACTAATTATCAGTCTTAATTTATGCTTTAACAGTATAGCATACTCCCTTCTGTATTTGCTGCACTCAAGTTTGACCACGAATTAATATCAGCTACAGAACCACTGAAATTCAGGTAGCACTGAACTGCTGTTTCATTTCACTTCGAAATTCATCGGCAGCAAGCACCCACCGGAGTTCAGACGTAGTAGCATGCGGTTACAAGTCAAGTTCGTAGATGTATCAGCCACTGGGGCCCAATTCAGTGGCCATTAAATATTACCTTCTACCATTTTGTGGGTTTAGTACGAACACCAGCTATTGCAAGTTAGTGACTGACCACATGACTACGTTGACTGGAGATCTAGTGACAAGTTTTGACCAGTGAATAGGGTCCACACAGTCGAGAGTAAGGAAACATTTATTCCCCGTGCATAATATTGGTCGGTGGTCACGCTGAAATCACGAATTGGTAGAAGTCAGAATTTATGAGCTGGCCATTGAATTGGGCCCCGATGGCTGAATGTTCTGTGAGTTCGCCTTGTAGCTGAATGGTCATGCGTTTCACCCCTGGCGGTGGGTGCGTACTTCCGATGAGTTGCGAACAAGTATGAGATGGCTATTCAGCACTCCCTGCTGTTTTTCAATGATTGTCAAACTGATATCGATCTGTGATAAAACTTGTAGAGACTAACTCTTGAGAATTTTAGCTGAAGGCGTTCAACCAATGGGAATTGAAGCGGCACCTTGTATAGATAATTGTGAATGCGGAATTTTTATCCATCTTGTGTTGCGTATCTACAAAAGGTGTACCAATAATAATATGGAACTTCTCATCGACTTTACAACTCCTTTACCTAATCAAATTTGATGACAATGCTCAAGAAGGTGACAGTGGTCTTTCCAAGTCGTTCTATCTATGTAACTATCGCCACAAGAACACTTAAACCTATAAGTTCGCATTCAGATGGCCAGACTCAGTAGCCTATTCTTCTTTGCATACATTGAAATTATAAAACGAGTGGTAAATTTCAAACCAAGTATTGCGGCAAAGAATGTTTTAGGTATTATTGTTTTCAGGAGTTTCGATGCCAGCAATTCATCGGACGTATCTTTTTTGAATGGTAAAGTTACTTACATACACGTGCATTTTTACACGCAATTCTTTCGCTCAATTTGCAAGCACCCCTCTGTCTCTGTTCTTTGTCTATGTACATGTCTAAGGAGAGATTTTAGATTAAGGGAAATTCTTATTGCGAAGATTTGATTTATGTAGATTACGTGTAGGAGTTCCATTAGATGAAAACAGGTGTATCTGTTTTATGGAAGTGCATTAAAATTCTACAGTTAGTAGAAATACCAATATATATATATATATATATATATATATATATATATATATATATATATAACCTAGATATCCAGGGCTAGTGTATCCGATTCTTACCTACACTACACACGCTCTCTCTCTCTTTCATTTGATTACGTAATCTACGGGTTTAACCTCAATCCATTAATAAACTGTAATTTTTAGTTGAACTGATTACATTGTTACCGAATTTATTAGTTACTCATTATCTTATGCACCCCTCTCCTGTTTATTACGTAACTCCTTTTCCACTGTATG